CCGCCGTCCCTTCCCATGGCCCATCCCGCTGCCCCACTGGCTGGGGTGCGGGGAGGATGGGCACCCCAAGGGCGACACATCCAGCAGTGCTCGGCACCCTGCCCTGGTGCTTCAGGTAGGTCTGCAGCGATGCACACCCCTCCCCCCCCCAAGACCTGGTGAGCCCTTGTCCCCATCCCACAGAGCAGGGAGGTGCAGGGTTGGGGTGTCCTGGGGAAGGGGAAATGCACTCTTGGGCACTGCTGCTAGGAGGGGAAGCGGCTCAGAGGGGTTAACCAGGAGCATCCTCCTGACCCCGCTCTCAGGCAAACTGTTTGAAGTGGCCCTTCCTCAGCTGCTGTGACAGCCTTCCGGGATGGCTCTGGGCGAGCGGGGCCCCATGTCTGGCAGAGACGGACGTCTCGGACTTTCTGCAGCCTCTTAGGAAAGCCCCGTCTGCATGCGGGGCCCAGCAGCATGGGAAGCAGGGGGGGCGAGGAGCAGGACCTGGGGATGTTGGCCCCCAAGCACTTGGTGCAGCTGAAGCCCCAGGGGCTGTGAAAAGCGAGGAGGCTGCAGAGAGCAGCGGAGCAGGGATGCCTCCTGTCCTGCCCAGCCCTGCTCAGCCTCTCCTGGGCTCCATCCCAGGCCAAGCTGACCCAGACTGGCGGAGCCTGGGAAGCGGCCCCCGCGCTGGCCCAGCCCCAGCTCCCGCCAGGCCCTGGGATGAGGCTGCTGCCGGGAAGGCGTCGGGAGCTGGAATGTCAAACAACTCCCCCCGGTCATGACATCCCTGTGAGCGAAGCCAGCTGCATCCCACAGCCGTCCCTCCTCCCTGACCCTCCCTCCCCACTGCTCCCCCAGGATTTAAGCTGCCCGGGGAGCCAGGCACAGCATCTCTAGGCTGTGGGAATCTCAGGGCTTGGAGCAGGGTAGGATGCGGGGACAGGGTGCCAGCCCCTCCTCAGCCCCGTACCCTGCCACCAGGGCACCCGTGCCCCCCTCATGCCTGGCCCCAGCTCAGGGGTGAGCGGAGGGATGGGAATGAAGCAATGAGGGTGTCCATTTCCCTCCCTCCTGGCCCTCGGCCGTCTCCCTCCATCCCGCTCCTTTTACAGCCATGAGCCTCCCAGGCGCCTTTACCCTAAGAGGGAAGGACCGTACGGCCCATTCCCCGGCGCTGACGGGCCCAGGGCGCGTGCTATTGTCCCATCCCTGTGTCCCCAGGTGATGGGGATGCTGGGGACAATGGTCTGTCTCCAAGTGGCACGGGGATGCTGGAGGTCCCTGGCTGCCCCATGGCATGTGTGGATGCTGGGGGTGTCCAGCTATCCCCCATAACATGTACGGATGCTGGGGGGGGTTTGCTTGCCCCCCTGGGTCTGTGTAGGTCCTCGGAGTGAGCTGCTGCCTCCATGGTCCACGAGGATGCTGGGGTGACCTGTTGCCCCTGGGGCCACATAATTGCTGGAGGAGACCGGCTACCTCCATGTCTGTGCAGATGCTCGAGGCATGTACCCATCCCCATCACTCATCTCCAGATAGGCCTGCGATCTGTGGGGATGCTGGGGGTGTTCAACCGTCCCCACAGCCCAGGGGCAGGCTAAGAATGTTCACCTGCCCTCGTGGTCCATGGGGACATTCACCTGCCCCAGTGACCGTGGGGATGCTGGGGGTGCCCAGCTGCTCTCACAGTCCACGTGGGTGTAGGGATGACTGGCCACCCTCGTGGTCCAGGAGGATGCTGGCTGGGGTGCCTGTCTGCCCTCCCACAGGCCTTGATAGCATCACCCATGCCAGTGAGATGAGGTAGTGGTTACCCGCTGCATCACTGGCGGCTCACGTAAGGCACGGTGGCCATTGGCCCCGCCACCAGCAATGCCCGGGCAGTGATTTCACTTTCCCATGCTCAGACACGTGGGCTGGGAGGGCGGGGGGGGGCACCGCCTCGATTCGTGCCATCCCTGCATTCATCCTGGCAGGGCCGGTAGGGAGAGGGGTCCAGGCAGCCTGGCAGGCAGCAGGAGAAGGGGCTGGCACTGCCTGCAGCTCCAGCTGTGACTGCAGGCTCTGTCCCGGCCGTCTCTCTGTTAACCCCTTCTAGCAGGGCTCAGCTCTGGCTGCACATCCCCAGGGAACGATTCCCAGTGCAGGGGCACCCCAGCCTGGGCTGCCAGGGGATGTGGGAAGGGGCACGGTGCCCTGTCCCGCACCGGTCCTGCCCCGGCCAGGCACCCCTGGGCACACATGTGAGCCGAGCAGCAGGGTGCAAGCACCCCAAGGAGGAGACAGTGTTGGTTTTGGGGGGGCTGCCTGGGGCTCCGTGCTGCACCGGGGGGTCCGTGGGGCAGAGAGGGATGGGGGCAGTGCCTTCCCAGAAGCATGGTGCCGGGGTGGGGGGCGGCTGTGGCAGGTGCTGCGCAGCTCCCGGCATCCAGCCAGGGGTGAATCAGAGCCCACCCGGAAAAAGCCGGTGGGAGGTTTTTCTGGAAGACCCGCTGCTCCAGGAATAGCTGTGGCATGCCAAGGCGCTGCCCTTTGCTCGCGCCTGCAGGACTGGGCAAGGGCCACACCAGGCCCTGCCACTCACCCCCTGCTCCAGCCACCCCAGATCCAGGCCCCCCCCGTTCCTGCACCCACTGCCCCTGGCACCCGTCTGCCCTGGGCACCCACGTCTGCTGGGTAGCCACCTGCTCCGGGCAGCCCCCGGCTGGGGGGGGGGGGGGGGGGGGGGGGGCATGGGGTCCTGGCACCCGTGCTGCAAATATCCCCAGATGTCCCCCGGGCATGGCCTGGGGACCACCCAGCAGCACCCAGCCCTGAGCTGGCTGCCTGCAGCAGTGGGGGGTGATGCTGGCAGGAGGAGCAGGGGGATGGCTGCTTGGCACCCATGTCCCTTCAGCACGGGAGTGCCAGGCAGGGGAGGTGCACAGCCCAGCTCCAGGCTGGGGTGCTGGGTGCCTGCTCGCAGCCTGGTCCCGTCTCGGCGGGGCGCTGGCCCTGTGTTTTGCTGTGGTTGACATGGAGACCCTCCAGCTGTCCGCTTGCGGGGTGCCAGGCGGTGGGGGTGCTCGTTCCCTTTTGTGGGGAGGAGAGGCAGGTGCTGGGGGCTGGGAGCATAAATCCAGAGCTGTCGTGAGCTCCCGGCACGGCAGGTCCCAGGGTCAGGGGCAACAGGGCCACCAGTTTCCAGTCCCCAGGACACGGACGGTGTCTCCAACTAACAGAGTGCCCACACTGGTGACTCAGGAGCTGGGCGTCCAGCTGGCACCAAGCACCTGGGCCCCACACAGCGCTCATAGGCTGCCACGTCCCTCCTAAGGCCACACACCCATTGCTGGGAAGACACAGGATCCTGCTGGGAACAAGCACTGATGGAAACCCAAAACCCCACTGCCGCACCCAGCCCATGGAGGGGACCCAGTCAAGGGCAGGAGGCACCTCAATCGGTGTGGGGGGCAGGGGTCCTATCCCCTAGATGCACCCAGGCCGTGCCCCCGCTGGGGTTGGCAGGTAGCTGGGGTGCTGTCCTGCCACTGTGCCAACTCCCAGCACCCGCCCGTGCATTGCTGTCACTCAGGGACACTGGTCCCCAGCATGGCACCCAAGGCTTGAGCCTTGTTTTCAGCAAAGGCTGGGCAGTGCCAGGGTGGGGAAGCAGCTGTGATGGGGGGGCTGCAGCTTGGCTTACGCCAGTGACTCACCCCAAAGACACCCAGCCTTTGGGAAGCACGTGTTTACCCCTCTGCACATGCACCCCCAAGCAGTGCGGGGACAGCCGCAGGCGGGCCAAGCTCTGTTGTGGGGTGGCCCCTACTCAGCTGGTGCCTGGAGATGGGGCACCCCTGGGTCACCTTCTCTGGGGAGCCCGTCCCTGCCCCTTGGCTCCCACCCCAGCCCCTCCCAGCTGTGCCCAGCTTCCACCCACTCAGCCCCCAGCTCTGCTCTGGCTTTGGCAGGCACCAGGTTTGCCTGACCCCGGACCAGGGTGCAGGGTGCAAGGGTGCAGGGTGTGGACTGAAGCGTGCGGGGTGCAGGGTGCGGGGTGAGGGGTGCAGGGTGCGGGGTGAGGGGTGCAGGGTGAGCGGTGCAGGGTGCAGGGTGCGGATTGGGGGGTGCAGGGTAAGAGGGGTGGGGTGAAAAGG